CAACTCTTTCATAAGCTCCATCTAATGTTGGGTGTGAGTCTCTGCATGTCTTTCCATTGGCTGCTGGGTGGAAATGGTAGGCTTCTGTCTGCAAGCCTAGTGGAGTATCATTAATAGTGTCAGGGATTGGTTTTTGCCCATGAGATGGGTCTCAAGTTGGGGCAGTCATTAGTTGGCCAGTCCCTCAGTCTCTGCTCTGACCTTGTCCCTGCACATCTTATAGGCAGGACACATTGTGGGTCCAAGGCTTAGTGGATGGGTTGCTACCCTTATCCCTCCCCTGGGGAGTCCTTCCTGGCTACAGGCAGTGGCTGCTTCAGGATCCATATCCCCCACTGCTAGGATTCTCTGCTAGTCGCCTCCGTAGGCTCCCTGGGGCCTCAGCCTATCCCATCCCAGGTCTCTGGCACTTCCTAGAGATTGCACCTCACCTCTGACTTCCCTTCTCTCTCCCCTGCTGTCCCTACATCTGATCCTTACCTTCCTGCTCCCCAGCACCGCTCTACCCCATTCTCCATCTCCTCTCCTGGATGACCCCACAACCGTGAGGTGGCACAATTTGTGGGTTAATTTTTAGTAGTTTGCCAGTGGGGTCCAGAAAAACAACTGGTCATTGTGCAGAGAATAAAAGATTGTGTGTAGTGATCAACTCTAAATGGGACATCTGTCACTCCTTTTCCACTGAAGGCTCAATGCAGAAAGGGGGGTAGAAAGATTGTACAAGCCAGAGGTAGTAGATGACTGCAGCAGAACAGTATTCCCTGGACTTCACAGCACCATTGTGGTATGAACGTGGAACACTTGTGACTGTATACACAAAAACTGCACAAGATCAGGCCAGGAACAAATCCCAGCATGAGTCAAGGTGGGGCTTATGACGTTCCATCCAGAGCTAAGGAACTATTGGCAGTTGGAGGGTGGGTCAGTTTTCTTCAGGGATGCAGGCCCTTAGAGGCTCCCCATGCTTCAGTGGGTGGTTCTGTACACATGTACATCCCTCATCATTAAGTTGTCTCAGTGAATTTTAAAACAACAACAACAACAACCAAGGCTGGAAAGATTGTTCAGCGTTTAAGTGTACTTTGACAGAGGATCTGGCTTCAGTTTCCAGCATCTACATTGGGTCGTTCAAAACTGCCTCTGTAACTCCATTTCCAAGGATCTAATGCCTTTTTCTTGTGTTCATGGGTTCTTGCACAGATATACATCCAGACAATCAGGTACACATGCACATAAACATTTTAAAGTTTTTCAAAAAGAACACATAAAGTTGGAAGGAAAAAATTAGGGGGGATAGGTAAAGAACTGGAGAGGCAAAGAATAGGTGGATTTTTATCAAAACACATTACATGCATATATGAAAATTTTAAAAGGAAATAAGGAGTTTTTTTCCCCAGGAAACTAGCAGTGTGGGCCAGGGTTAATAGTTGGGTGAAGGACTAGTTCCTTTCTCTGTCACCCTTCACACCTTCCCTATTTTGTCATCCTAAACCTGCCTGGGAATGAGGCTGGACCAGAGTAGATTAAGAAGGAATGTGCAAGGTAGCAAGAGACTTAAGTTAGTGGTTTGTAGAGAAAAAGGAGAAGAATTATCAGAATTCTGTAGTTACTCATGGCTGTTCTCAAGATTAGATTGATGTACTTTAATGTTTAGGTCTTGTTTGTTCCTTGATATATACCTTTTGATAAATACATTTTATAAACCAGAATGTCTGTAAGTTGATCTTAAACAACACAGCAAATTGTTTGCAAGTTTTTATTTTCATTATTCTTTGGGAACCCCAAAATTATTTTGTTTTTTGAGATACTTGTGATACTATAATAGAAATCTAAGGTGACAAAAGACACATCTTTCTTGCTTATTTTAATCGAACCTTCATTATATCCGAAATTAAACTAGACTATACTTTTAAAGCTTTATTCAGAAGAAGAATATGCTTGATAATATTCTCTAGGAAAAGACATATACCTAACAATATAATGCTATCTCAGTAGGAATTTTTCTCAATTTGAAATTTGTTGTACTTTTTTATGATGGAAAAAATATATATCTAGTCAGCTGGACTTAGTTTAAATGATCTAGAAGGTTTGTAGATGGATTAGACGCAGTGTGTTGTATTGTAACGTTCCCTGGCTGGCTCAGGACTCAGGCTGGGTTGTTTCTCCTGGGACTGCCTTGTCAAAGGGAGCTGCAGTGTCCGGCCCAGATGGTGGGCAGCATGCACATTTCCTCCTGTTCTTCCTCTGTTTGGGTTTTTGAGATGGAGTCTCCTTGTGTAGCAAGAAGGACCTTAGACTTAGAGTGATCCTCCAGCTTAGCCCCCAGAAAGCTGGGATTTAGATGAGTACCATGCCCAACTGTGGCTGTGGGTGCCTTTCAGCACTGGTCCTTGGCTTGGCTTTCAGTGCCTTCTGTTGTTGTTTTGTTTGTTTTCTTTGAGGAGAGTCGGGAACTTCTTTCCTTTCAAGGCTGTCTTCCCATCTTTTTCTGTGCTGGAGAGGGAATTCAGGGCCTTGCTAGATAAGTGTCTACCACTAAGCTACATCTTCTATCATAAAGACCTCACTTTTTAAAAATAAAATTTTATTTAGAGTAAGAATAATGTCTTCTCATTTTGGTATTTCAGTAGTTCCAAGTATGTTTTTTGGCATATAGTCTGTGCTCACTGTATTTATAAAATGAAAACTGCAAGTAAAATTATAGGATGGTTTAACACATAACATTCTAAGTGATTTGTTATTTCAGAGTGGTCAAGTAATTTTAAAAAATGTCACAGTGCTCAGCACAGTACTAAACATGTTTTTCAGCAGCACACATTACCTGTTGATGTCCTAGGGTTTGACTTTGAAGAGTCTTTATAATGTATACAGGCAGTCCTGCTGCTCAGCACACCACTGAAGACTTCATTGCTTCAGCTCTGGACCTCCCTTGCTTCCCTTGACACTCCACTAACGGCTTTCAAATTAAACAGTATGTGCAGAAAGTCTAGTAGTGGCAATGACTTGATTCTTTGATAGTGAGAGACAGGAAAGTTCATAATCTTATCTTTTTATGTTGAACTTTAAATATGAAAAAATGGGTTTCTAACCCAAATAAGAATGATAGCATCCCACTTTGAGGGTCAATCTCTCTTTATTTTTCTTTTTTATTATATTTTTATTATTTCAAGCATTTTTTTAAAGATTATATTGAATGCAGGTTTATTGGGAACCTGCTCTTGGGTAGGTGAGTTCACTGGCCCCAAGGAAGAAGGCCAGGGAAGTCGCCATGGGAAGGGAGAGAGGAGAGGGGGAAGAGAGAGAGACAAAGAGTGCACACACAAGAGAAAGAGAAGCTTAAAACAACTTTTAAATATATTTTAATCATATTCTTCCCCTCCCCCAAGTCCTTCTAGATCAGTGGTTCTCAAACTTCTTGATGTTGAGTTCCTCATGTGATGACCCAAACCATAAAATGATTTTTGTTGCTTCCTTATAACTATAATTTTGCTACTGTTATGAATCATATTACAAATATTAAATGTTTTCCAGTGGTCTTAGGCAACCCCTGTGAAAAGGTTGCTTGACCTCCCTCTACCCCTAAAAGGTTTGTGACCCACAGTTTGGGAACCACTGTTCTAGATCCTCTTCCCTCCTCCAACAACCAACTTTAAGTTCTTCAATGCAGATTTAAAGAGAGTAAATGAACTAGTTACTTGCTACTGTTAATCTCTTGTTTCCTGGTTGGTAGACGTGCTTGGGAAAGATTAGGAGGTATGGCCCTAGAAGAGGACGTGTGTCATGTGGGGCTTTGAGGCTTCACTCGCTCATTTTGTTCACTACCTCCAACTTGCAGAACAAGATGTAAGCTCTCAGTGTTTCTGTCACCACACTTCTGCTCTGCCACCATGGACTGACTCTAAGTCTCTAGAGCTGTAAGCTCCAAATTAAACTGTTTTAAAGTTGTCTTCCTTGGTCAAGCCGACTTATCGTAACTACTGAAAAGTAACTAAGACACTATGCTAAGATTAACTATGTACTTGGAGAGATGTTGTCCGAATTTGCTTTATATTGTTGTGGTAAAAAACACCATGACCAAAAGCAACTTAGAGAGGAAAGAATTTATTTCATCTTATAGTATATAGTCCGTTATCCATGAAGGAATGTCATGGCAGGAAGCTGGAGACAGGAACTGAGTCAGAGACCATGGAGGAACAGTGCTTAATTGGCTTCCTCCCTGTGGCTTGCTCTCTATGCCTCTCTCACCCTTAGTGTATCAATCAAGAAAATGACGCACACAGGTCAGTCTGATGGAGGCATTTTCTTAGTTGAGTTTCCCTCCTCCCAGATATCTCTAGCTATACCAAGTCAACAAAGCACCAGTCAACACAGATGGTCTTCTGAACTTAAAGGCAGAGTATGTGTTCTGCCAGGAATATTTTAAACATATTTCTATCTAAAATTCAGGAAGTCTTACCTGTTTACCTCTACAAAGAAATGATTCAGTGGTATAAATCTGTGAAATGAATCTTAGTCTGTTGAGAGCAAAGCTCTTTGAAACTAAATTGATCTTGGTATAAGAGAGGTTAAAAACAAGCATAAAACTTTGCTATCAGACATGGTAGCCATATATTAATTAGACATATTTCTGTTTCTCTTAGTAATAATGTATCACAGGAGGAAGCAAGACACTCATGGGAGTAAAAAGCAAGCAATGAAGTCAAGAACGCTTCTAAAGTTCTCATATCTGGTTCTTTCCCTTGTAGCATATTTTAGGGTGTGAACTAATTTTCATTATTGAAGATATGACTTTAGTTAATTTGTTTCTAAAGGTATTATACCTGTTCACCTGTGAAGAAAAGCATTGGTGGCTTACCTGTCCTAATAATAGAATAGAGTCAGTCTATGTGCAGTTTAAGGCCAAAACTATATATAATATGATCAGTTATATAAAATCAATAGTAAAATATTATAACAACTAGCCTGCTAATTAGTATTCTTTTTCTGTTGTTTGATCTTAGGGTTTTGACCCACCACATCAAAGTGACACAAGAACTATTTACATAGCCAACAGATTTCCACAGAATGGCCTTTACACACCTCAGAAATTTATAGATAACCGGATCATTTCATCTAAGGTAAGAGTAAACAACTTTATTATTACACTGTGGATGAGAGCTTTGGATGTATTTGTAGCTCATTTGGTAGACTTACTTGTCACATGCAAAGCCCTGAGTTCAGTCTTCAGTACCACATAAATTGAACATTATGATGCATGCTTATAATCTCAGCACTCTTAAATTCAAGGTCATCTTTAGCTACATAGCAAGATTAAGGCCAGCCTGGGATATATGATACAATACTTTGTCCTAAATAAACAAAACAAAATGATAAATTTGTAACATTTTACAGATGATTTACTGAATGTGTGCAAGTATATATGTATACTTTTAAAAAGTCAAGAAACTGAAGGTTGATAGATATATCTCACCCAACATGATGTAGGAAAGAAAAGAGGCTGTTAATTCCTACCAGTTAACCGTTGTCTTTAGCTGTGACTGTACTGTGATGGCCGTCTGCTGAGCCTGTTTCTTCTCACTTTATGTTATCTAATATTTGCAACAACCTATGTGAAATAATTAATAAATCTTGTTTATAAAATGCTACATTTTATATTATCATAGTTCTTTGATTTCAGTGCTTGGAAATTGAATAATTTTTCTCAAAATTGTAAGTAGCTTGGTTAGAGTTTGAACTCTGTTCTGTGATTTTAAAGCCTCCTTGACCTATTATCTAGAGTCTCCTGTAAATATTTTAGTGTTAGGTACTACTTTATTCTTACTTATGTCTTCCTTTGGCTCTTGAAGAAGTTATGTTTGTTAAAGTAGAGGATTATAGAGCAGTACTGTCTAAATCATTTCTCTTTCATGATAGAAGTGAGTTGCGGTGTTCAGTAAGAAACCTAGTAGCACATAGGACTATTGAGGCATTGGAAATATGGCTGATACAACTGAAGAACTGAACATTATTTAAGCCGGGCGGTGGGGGCACACGCCTTTAATCCCAGCACTTGGGAGGCAGAGGCAGGTGGATTTCTGAGTTTGAGGCCAGCCTGGTCTACAGACTGAGTTCCAGGACAGCCAGGGCTATACAGAGAAACCCTGTCTCGAAAAAAAGAAAAGAAAAACGGATCCATTGATGATGCTAAAAGAGCCTGTTCCAGTTATTATATATATTTTGGATACTGTATAGGTTTAAAAACCTTAAGAAATTTTAAAGTCTAATTTGTTTATTTAAGATACATCCCCTTTCTGTTTCTCTCTTCAACTCCACTAATGTCCCACCCCAACCTTCATTCCCTCTCAAATCTGCAACCTCTTTTTCTTTGTTATTTTTACATATGTAACTACAACCTACGGAGTCCATTTAATGTCATTTGTATGTTTATGGTTTCAGGGCTGACCCCTGGGGAAGAATAATTCTACTGCTCTTAGCTTTGCTTAGTTACTGGCCTCTGTCTACGTGTAAGGCACACTGGGATTTCCTCCATTCATGTTAGCATGGTTATTGTTTTTTCCTTGTTTTGGTCTTGTTTAGGCATTGTTGGAGTATCATGGGTCCCACTTCCCTGACACAGTCTCAGCTGATTTTCTGGTTCTTTGGCTCTTACATCCTCTTTAACTCTGTTTTCTTTGATATCTCTCAAGTGTTAGGTGTAGGAAATGTGTTGTAGATATATTCACAGTCAGTTCTGCATTTTGACTAGCTGGGGCTTTCTGCAGCCATCTCTGTCTATTGCAGAGACGCTTCCTTGATGATGTATAAGAGCTACACTTGTTTGTAGATTCAAAGAAAAGAATTTAGGATACGGTTAGGAGTTATGTAAAATGATGGTATTGGGCTGTACTATGTGTACAATATGTACTGTATTATGTACTATATGACCTCTCTAGCCCTGGCTGTGTAGCTGGCTACATATCCAGTACCAGGCATGTTGAGTGGGCCTTACATCCAATTAGAGAGGTGTTGATACAGATACAGATTTATTACTGATGAATATCTTACCATGCTGATCATTGTTGTAGCTATAGCTAATAAGGATCACAGTTGAATGGGACTGCTGGTTACTTACCTCTGTTGACAGCTTGCTTAGCACCTTCTAGTACTGTGAAACCTAATCTTCAAGGAAGAGGCTTTCAGATCTGATGATCCTGTTAAACTCTAATATTTAAGATTCTTATCTGTAGGACTTTCATAGCATTTCAGCTGGTGTTGGAGGCTGAGAGTACTAAAAAGTGTTGTGATTAAGTAAGTTCTTTTATATGGCTGTTTTCTTATGCAGTTTAAGTTTAACGTTTTTGACCAGAGTTTCAGAAATGTAGGTGTTTAAATAAGCACTCTCCTTAAGCCATTTTAGCATAAATAAGCATCCTTAGATGGCTTTCCTACTTTATTGTGTCTCAGTTATTTCCAGACCCTTGTAACTCTATTGCTGGCAGTCTCATAGCTTGCAGAAACTCTTTTCTCATTGACCCTTTGCCAGATTGTATGCATTCACCTTGGTGCTTAAAATGTGAAAATTTAAAGATGTTTATAGTCCATGTCAAGAGTATATATAGTTGCTGATACTCTTCTCTCATGCTGCAGTGAGGCTGGCATGATGTTGGTTTTCTTTTAGAACTTCTGTATTGTTCTCTGACACATTTTCTACAAAACCACAAGGAGCTTTGCCTTCTATTGTACATGTTCCCTTATATATTTTATCTTTAACTACAACTGTTAATCTCTTTGCTTTGCTTATAAGCTGCTTAGTAAATCTGACATGTTGTAAATCTTTTTTGTTTGTTTGCTTTTTTTTTTTTTAATTTGAGTCAGTGACTCATTATGTAACCCTGGATCTCACTGTGTAAGCATGCTGGTCTCCAACTCACAGAAATCTGCCTGCCTCTGAGTGCTGGGCTTAAAGCAGTGGTTCTCAACCTTCCCGAGCTGTGACCTTTTAATACAGTTCCTCATGTCATGGTGACCCCCAACCATAAAATTATTTTTGTTTCCACTTCATAACTGTAATTTTGCTGCTATTAGGAATCATAATATAAATATTATAATGGTATGGAACCCTTATGAAAAGGTCATTTGACCCCAAAGGGATCATGATTCACAGGTTGAGAACCACTTTCCTAAAGGTATGTGCCACTATGCCCAGTTTACACATATGCTTTTAAAGGATTTATTATTATTATTATTATTATTATTATTATTATTATTTGTATGTGCCTGTATGCATATAGGCGAGTGGGTGCCTGTGGAGGCCTGAAGTGCAGATCGTCCTTGAGCTGGAGTTACAGGCCGTTTCGAGCTACCTGACTTTGGGGCTGAGGGTTGAGTTTGAGTCCTCTGTAAGATCAGTCTGCACACTCTTAACTGTGGAGTCCTCTGTAAGAGCAGTCTGTATACTCTTAACTATGGAACCATTTTCCCACTCTGTTGAAACCATTTTCCTTACTGCCAATTTATATATTTGTTTTCTTTAAAATTACAGAGAGAAAAATATTGTTGGTATCTACATAGGTGTTGGTTGATTTTTCTTTTCTCTTTTTTCCTAGTATACTGTATGGAATTTTGTTCCAAAAAATTTATTTGAACAGTTCAGAAGAGTGGCAAACTTTTATTTTCTTATTATATTTTTGGTTCAGGTAAGTTTTATCACCCCTTGAATTATTTATGAACTTGCTGCCTAAACATATATTTTACAATATGAAAAAATTACATTGTATTCCTAGTTGTTTGGCTATGGGGTTGTTTTTCTTCTGCAGCTTCCCCATTGTACTCATAAATAAATTAAATCAAATCTAGATTTCTAAAACATAGGCTATAAATATTAAGGTCACCTGCATTTTGTTTCTTTACTAGTGTATCTTAGTACTAATAAGTATAAGCTAAGCTAAGAACAGTACTTGTAATTTTTCTGATGCCTGTCTCAGAGTATAAATGTTTTAGCTATTAATAACTAGTGCATCATTGCTACATGTCTGCCTATGTGTGTGTGCTTCAATTTTGTTCTATCAATGTCTGTAATCACAGATACTCAAGAGGCTGAGTCAGATGAGGATTGTTCATATCCAGGAGTTTGATGCTAACCAGGCAATATAGTAAAATCCCAGCCCAATAAATTTTATTTAAATTTATAATTTTTAAACATTTTTTTCACTTTCTTTCTTACTTTGTCCTCCTCCTCTTCCTCTTTTCTTCTATATCCTCTTCTTCCTCCTCTTCCTCCTCTTCTTCCTCTTCCTCCTCCTCCTTTTCCTCCTCTTCCTCCGCCTCCCCTTCCTCTTCTCCTCCTCCTCCTTTTCCTCCTCTTCCTCCGCCTCCCCTTCCTCTTCTCCTCGTTTTCCTCTTCCTCCTCCTCTTCTTCCTCTTCCCCCTCTTCCTCTTCCTCCTTTTCCTCCTCCTCCCTTTCTCCTCCTCCTCCTCCTCCTCCTCCTCTTCTTCCTCCTCCTCCTCCTCCTCCTCCTCCTCCTCCTC